CCAAAAATCTGAACAATCTTTCTCTTAGCCTTCCCCAAAGGGACTATGTCCATTTACATATCTGTTCACTGGGGGAGAGTAAATAATCAGACTTTATGGGGATATTACAGGACACTGGTTCTTAACTGACACTATTTAAAAAAAAATCATTTTACTAGGGGCTCATTTAGCTCTTATCACAAACACTACTAGTTAATCATTGTGGTACACCAGCCTTCTGACTGTTAGGGTCATATGGAGGTCAGGTTATTAATGGAGTTTTAACTTAGATGCATCTAACAGTGGGCTCAGTGGGTGTCTGAATCCATTCTGTAGTGATTTTCCCAGTTCCAGAATGCATAATTGGGGACTAGATATACTAAGCAACAGACAGAACTATCACACTGGATCCCTGACATGTGGAGGAAAGGCTATTATGGTCAGAAAAACCAAGTGGAAGCCACTAGAACTACATCTACCTAGGAAAATAGCAAACCAAAAGTAGTACCACATTCCTGGAGGGATTACGTAGATTACTGCCACCATCAAGGAACTGAAGAATGCAGGGGTGGTGATTCCCCACACATCTTCATTCAACATGCCTACCTGGTTTGTACCAAAACAAAAACAGGTAGATCTTGGAAAGTGACATTGGATTATTGTAAATTTAACCAGCTGTTGACTCCAATTGTAGCTGCTGCTCCTGATGTGGTTTCATTTGAACAAATTAATACTTTTCCTATTACCTGGTATTTAGCTATGGATGTGTTCAATGCCTTTTTGATTCTGGTTTCAAAAATTTATCAAAAGCAGTTTGCCTTTAGCTGAGAAGGTTGGCAACGTACCTTTACTGAGGCAAATGAACTCTTTAGCCTTATGTCATAATAAACAGTTTACATTTGGACCCTCCTACAACTAGAAAGGATGCACAATGCCTGGTGCGCCCCTTGGGATTTGAAGACGCCCCTATCTTTAATTTAGAGTCCAGGTGGTAGTGGGTTACGAATTTTGTGAATTGCTGCAAGGTCAGCAGTTAGAAACCACCAGCTGCTCCTACAGAAGGATGGAAGTTTCCTACTCCTGTGACGATTTGGTCTTGGAAACCCACAGGGGCAGTTCTCCTTTGCCTTACAGAGTCACTGTGAGTCAGAATCAACTAGATGACAGTGACTTTATCACTCATTTGGGTATGCTACTTCAGCATATTTATCAAGTGACTAAAAAAAGATGCTAGATTTCAATGGGGCCCATATAAGGAAAGATTCTGCAACAAGTCCTGGCTGTTATTTACGCCATTTTACTACAAGAGCCATATAATCCAGCTTTTCGAATGTTTCTTTGTCAGCAGCAGATGGAAATGCTGTTCTGAGTCTTTGGCATACATCATGAGAAACAAAATATTGAAATTGCCAAGGACCTCATTTTGATTGTGGAATCAATGCCCGTGGAAACAATAGGTGAGAAATCAGTTGAAAACATATCACATCAGGTCCATTTGCTGCAAAAGGCCTCTTTAAAGATGGCATGTTGACTAAGGTGCCAGACTCAAGCCATAGCATTTTAAACTACATTACATGCATGTGAAAGCTGGGCAATGAAGAAGGAAGCTAGAAGGACTGATGAATTGTGAATTATGGTGTTTCTGAAGGTTGAGAAAGCAAAGCATCTTTGGGCAGGCAGCTTCCTGGTGAAATGGGATGCCTCTGACCACTTATCAGTGGAGCTACAAGAGCTTTGTTAACACCTAAGAACTGCTGAATCCAGGTGGGCTCACTAGGCCCAGGCAGCGGCTGAGAAAGCTGTCCTGAGAACTCTTACCTACAGTCTTCCTGGACCCCGCTTTGTAACCTTAGTTCCGCATAGACCCCATCATTTTGAGTATTTTATGAGTTCTGTGTGGCCATTGAAATTAATTATCAAATCTAGTAGAGAAGTGGAATGAGCTTTTGGAGGGTTTGGAATCAGAAATGATAAAATGTTTGGAGGCATGAGGCATGTCTGACCTCCACATCATAGCACTCAGCCTTGGGCTTTTGCCTTTTCTCCCTCCTGTGAAGTCAGAGGAGGTCATATGCCCCAGTCATGCTGTTCTCACATGCAGCTTACTTTACATCTTCATTAACGAATAACAAGGGTATCATAATAGAAAGCAAAATGTCAATTTCATTAGTGGAAATGAATACATTTATCTAATCAGAGTGGAAAATTCTAATTTAGAAAAACTTGCTGGGGGAGGAAAGCATTAGGTTACCTGAATCAAAGATTTTTAAAATGTCTCAATTTTTGATACCCTTAAAGCAAAGCAAAAACTACTATCACATCAATTCTCATGATGATCTCTGTTAGGGTTTTCTATGGCTGAGTTTTCTGGAAGCACACTACCAAGCCGTCCTGGCCTGGGAGAACTCCCATCTCTAACCTTGTGGCAGCTGAGGGCATTAACCATCTGCAGCAACACCCAAAGATTCCTTCTCTATCCCCATGACTTCCATTTTCCTCTGGATGTGCCTAATTCCCAAGTCTCGGTATTAAAGAAACCTTTGAACTCTTTCTGATGGGTTAAATTTCTAATTTACATGTTTTCATGGAAATGCAGACTACTGTAATTTATTGCTGCCTGATTCAGACCATCTAAAGTTCATCTTGATCATAATGTAGTTTCCTTTGGGAAAATACAGCTGAAAATCACTCAGTTTTGACTTACACCTATTATTTATTTGTTGACTTTTTTAAAGCAGAGGAAAGTGGCATTAAATACATTTGTAATGCTTGCACCCAATTTCAAATGGCTCAATTGTAATTGTGACAATTAGCTAATGAAGAAAGAGGATCTGACTTTGCATCTGGTGCTAATGAAGAATTTGATTCTAAAAAATGTCAATATCCTCAACAAATGACCAAAGAAACCCTCAGTGAGATGAACTGACACAACAGCTGCAACAATGTGCTCAACTACACCAACAATTGTGATGGCACAGGACCAAGCAATGTTGCTTAAAAAAAATTATATATAAAGTTGCATGGGGCAGAGCCAACTCTACACCAAACAATATTACAATTCCCATTAACCACAGGAAAACTATTGAGGTCTAAATGTTTTTTAGTAATAAAATGATAAAGTTCCATCTTTGTTAATAATAATTATGAAAATGAGGTGTTTACCTTTCTTTAATGCTGTTGCCAATGGTTAACCCAAACTTCTATGGTTTTCAGTACTAAACTTTAAGAATGAAGGAAAGAAATACGGAGGCACTTGTAATTCTAGCGTTAGAATAAAAAAAAATATTTTTTTTAGCTTCTAGTCCTCCCCTTCACCCACAATATGTTTCCTGAGACATTAGCCAATAACCCAAAATGGTATTCTACTACTACTTTCCTGAATGTTCATTGATGTAATGTTTGATTCAAGGATGAATTCTGAAGAAACGTCTCATGGCTACTGAGGAAAATAATATGCACATACTGAAATACTTAACAAAAGAAGTAAAAAAGTCAAGCCAGACAATTTAGATAACTGAACTTTTCCTATGTAAATATTTTAAAGGATTGTTGAAATATAGAGACCAATATACTTAGGAACATTGTTGGGTGTCAGGTGTTTATATAATTGTCCAGCTTAATCCTATTAATAATTATTTTCATCAATTTTGTTAACATTTAGCAACATATAACAAATGCTAATAAATGTACATATATTTCAGGAGACTTAATTCATATCTAGCATTTCCAATTAACATATAATTTCATCATTACTTAAAAAAATTAGAATGTATAGTCTGAAATTTTAAGTTTCACCGTTGCTTGTTCCCCCTAATTGTGTGTGTCAATTATTACAGGGACTTGGTGGCACGGGAGATAAGTGTTTGGCTGCTAATATAAAATTAGCAACTTGAACTCAAGAGCCTGATAAGATAGAGGAGAAAGATGTGGCAGACTGCTTCTACAAGGACTACAGCCTTGGGAACCCTATGGGGCAGTTCTGCTTTGTCACACAGGGTGTTAGGTGATGAAATGGACTTAATGGTAGGTTAGAATTATTATGTAAAGTAGTAACTCCTTACTACCTCCAGCTCTTGGTAACCAATAATTAATTTTGCCTCTAGACATTTGCCTAGAGTTCTAGACAGTTCATATAAGATTACACATTATTTGTCCTTTTGTGTCTCATTTTGTTCACTTCCATGTTTTCAAGTTTCAGACAAACACCAGATTCTAATTTTGCTTTATGGCAGAGTAATAGCCCATTGCACGTATATACCAACTTTGGGCTATTATGAATAATGCTGCAATGAACATAAAAGTGTCTAATGTACAAATGTCTGAGTCTCTGATTTCAAGTCTGTTTGGTATTCAGGCACACTTTGGAGATATTGAAGGGTGGGTCCTAGACAACACCCAAAATTTGTGTATTGCAATAAAATGAGTGACATGATTTTATTTGTTGTTTCCCAGTGAATATATGTTATGTTAAAGTCCTGGTGGTGTAGTCGTTATGCAGTGGGTTGCTAACCTCAAGGACAGTAGTTTGAAACCACCAGTTAGTTGCTCCATGGGAGAAATATGGGGCTTTCTATTCCCATAAAGAGTTAACAGTTTCAGTCTGGGAAACCCAAGACTTCCTATAGGGTCCCTGTAAATTAGAATCACTTGATGGTAATGAGAGCAGAAAGTTAACATGGTAACCCACTATTTGCTCTTCATTTTTAGTTTGAGCTAAAGAAAATTATTCTCTTGGGTATAATTTCACATCTATATTTCTGATTTAAATCTAGTTAAGAATCCCTTGGCCAGCAGTTTATGGTGACAGATTATTATAGGAAATGAATTCACAATAGGGTTTCAATTTTTACCCCACTGTCAATACCAGCAACACACACATGCAAAAAAGAAATATTTCATTTATCTCCTCTCACCTCAATTCATCCATCTCTTTTGTACTTCCCATTATTAAAAATGAAATGCATAACTGTGAATCTTCAGCAGACAAATAACTCCGTATGTCAACTAGAATAATAAACTCATAACCAAACTATGAGATTTTAATTGTGTGTAAATACTGTTAGTTACACTTTTTTGACCCTCCACTTTTTCATTTTTATGCAACAGGAAAGCTGTAACTTTGAAGCTGAGAGGGCCAGAAAGAAGGGGCTAACAAACTAACATAAAATAGCTACTGGTGATTAGTATTAAAGGCACATGGAGGCAAATGACATCAAGCACAATTTTTATGGTAAAATAATATTCCACGTTTACTGAAATGATAACTGCAGCAGCCGGGACTCCATTCAGTTTTGCGATTGTAGTTCAAAGGGGAGCAACAAGGCCTTCCCTTTCGCTAAACGCATTAGTGGGTTTCACCTAAAAGAGAGCGTGACGGTCACCAAATCAGGAGCTCGCGGGGGAAGCGATGCCAGATGCCCTGTCGCGAGCGCCTAGGCTTCTCTTGTGAGTAGGGCCACGTAGGCACTGCTTGGGAGATGTCACCCTACAGCTCCGCAGAAGAGGAAAAGCACCGGCAGGGTGAGCTGATCATGGGAGCAGGAGGCTAAGATTAGGCGGGACCGGATACCTCCTCCTTCGCCCACGGCGAGCTCTGTCACACAGTAGCCACTGCTCGGTCACCCACGCAGCTTTCCAAGCCACCTCCATGCTCCCCGGTGCCTTCAGGTGGGCGGACGGCACCTCCCGAGAACGGTGGAGACTCCACAGGCAGAGCCATCCCCCTCCGGCTCGTGAGAGCGGCTCGGCGGCCGGGGCGCGCCGGCTTCCAGCGGCGGACGGCTCACGAGGGGCCCAGCTCGGCAGGGGATTGCTTCAGCCTGGGGCTCTGCCGCGGCTGCTTTCGCGTCTCGCGCGCACCCGCTCCGCCGCCTCCCAGCCAATCCGGCGCTACTCGCGCGCCCAGGTGCTTCCCCTCGGCCTGCGCCGGCCAGGCCCGCTCCTTCCCACTCCCCAAACTCCGCATCGGCGCTCTCACTCCTCCCTTCACTCGCCACGAGTTCCCCGCCTCAGAGTGTAGCTCCGCCCCTGGCACTGAGGCCGCCCCCGCAGCCCCCTGAGCGTGTGCTTCCCTTTCCCCTTAATCTCCTACCGCCTATCCCATCAGGCTCTCGCGCTCTTAAAAGAGAGCGGCTCTAGTCTCTCGGGCCTCGCTCGAACGCCTCCGCGCTCTCCCCCGCCCCCAGCTCGCGGCTGGCGACCCGGAATCAGGGTCGCGTTCCCTGGCTCCGCCCCCTCGGGCGGACTCGCGCACTCCCGGCTCGGCCTCTCCCCCGCGCCCGCCGCCCGGCGCTCGGACGCCTCCCCCTCCTCCCCGCTCGCCACGCGCTCACCGGGCGCCCTCGCTCTCGCGCTCTTCGAGGCGAGCGCGCTCCCGGCCCGCGCGCTCCGGGCTCCGGCTTCTCCCGGCTCCTGTCAGTGCGGTGACTGCGCTGGGAAACATGGCGACCGAGGGAATGATCCTCACTAACCACGACCATCAAATTCGTGTGGGAGTCCTGACAGGTAACCAGGGGAGCAAAACCGGGAGCGCGGCGGCCGCTATCCCCGATCTGGCTTGGGCTGCTCGCTCTAGTGGTCCGGCTCTGCGGCCTCCAGGACGAGGGCAGGCTGAGGAGGGGGCGCGGGGGTGCGTTTTACAACTGCTGAAAGCTGCCGGAGCTTGGGGTGTTCCCGCGGGTTCCCCCGGGAGCTGGGGCCGGCCCCGTGGGGTGTCAGGCCCCAGTGCCTTCGCACCCGAAGCCCCTGGCCCCCGGGGACGGAGGGGCCGGCGCGGCGGGCGCTGCGGGGCTCCGCGCTGCCGGTGCAGGCGGCGGGATCCCAGCCCCGCGCCGTGAAGCACGCCGCTCGGGGCTTGCTAGGGTGCACCTCCGCTAACGCTCTTCCCAGAGAGGGGGGAATCCCATCTGCACGCCCTCCCCCCCTTCCCCCCACCCGGCGACCCCCGGAGCGTTGGCCCTGGGGGCGCCAGGCACCCGCCCGACTGGATCACTGGTGTTCTTCTGCCGAAACTCTGCCGCAGGTTGCACCTGGCAGGCCGGGCATCCCCTCAGTCACCCATGGGACACCCCTCGCCTCCCCGGGAAGGTAGGGGATCTACTTGTGCCCGGACCTCGGAAAGTGTCTGCATTCCGTATTCCAGCGCAAAGGGCCCTCTGCCCGCGTCTATTCCCTGGCGTGGAAGGACGGGCTGCATGCAGCCTGCGGCCAGGGATCCAGTGCATTTTAATGAGAGGGAAGGAATCCCCCGTTCCGGCTCCTCTGGCCCCCTCCCTTCGGGGAGCCTCCCCCACCCTCGTAGATGGTCCCGAGGCTCGGGAGCTCACTTTTCCCGGGTCGCGTTTCCCTCGCTCGCTCAAGCTGTGTGTGCTCTGAATGTCTGATTCCGTTGCGTTGTATTTGGGTGATATCCCTCAGTTCGGCGGTAGGCAGTTGCTGCAGGGCTTGACTTCCAAGATGAATAGCACGCGGCTTTGGAGGGCTTTCTGCTGTGGTTCTGTAGTTGGCAAGATGATTTGCGTGTAATTGAATGGCGAGGCGAGGGTTAAAGAACTATATTTGGAATCAAGGGTTTAGTTTGGAGTGAAGGAAATCCGAGACTCGGTGATGTGATTTCGGAAAAAGATGTAGACAGAGATCCTAGTGTTTCCTCTTTCCCCGCCCTCCCCACTCCAACACACACACACACACACACACACACACACACACACACCTTGGAAAAATGTTTTCTCGTCAAATTTTGACAAGTTGAGATGGTGCTTGAGAAGGGACTAAATTGAATGAGGCTTGATTTTATTAGGTAGAACAATCTCTCAGACTGCGGGTAGGTGCTGAATGCAAAGCTTATTTTAACTACTGAGTTGTATGAAAAGGGGACATCTACTCTTCTCCCTCTCTTTTAAGTAAATGAATGGCCTTTCGCGGGTTTTCTTTCCAGCTGTTCACTGATCTATTGGGTGTACCTCTTTGGGAGCCCCTGGGATAGGGGAAACTAATTTAGACCAGTTGTTGGGAAAGGAATCCCCCTCCCCCCATGGGAAGGTGTGCTGTTTTCTTATCTTGGTGCTGAAACCGGTGTCATGTGCTGAAATTCAGTTGTATCTCTGAATTCTTAGAGTTGACATTGCTGCTTTTTAGAGAATATGATCTCGGTATGTAAAAGTGTACCTTGTATCAGCCTTGAACTTCGACTTTAAATTCTAGCCATGCTTTGAATTCAATAGAATAGTAAGAGTGAAGTTTAATAGAAACCAAAGTGTCAGCTGTCCATGGAAATAAAAGGCCACTACGGATGTTTAAAAGCTAAAATAGATTAAATAAATAAATAAATAAATAAATATCAATAAACATATGTAAACATCTATCTATATTTGTGTGTGTTGTTTACACGTCCCTGATAGTTTTATTTAATGCATCATCCTACTTGGTCAAGTGACATAGTAAATAGGTGTTCTGCAGAGTGCTTTGAAAGATGGAGCCCTTCTCCTACACTCCAGAGAGGTAACACCGATATGGGAACAATTGAAGAAACAATGTAATCACGCTACTAAAATTGTCTAAATAAATTATGTATGCACTTGAGCTGAAACTGCAAAAGGAAATACCTATTTTAACTGAAGGATGAATTTAGTATATTTACCAGAGGCAAGAAGAAACGGGCATTTTAAAGGGAAGCTGAAAGTCAGAGGCAACCTTATAAATTATTATGTAGCTGAAGATGAGGCTCCGGAATGGAATAAAAAGGCAATGTAAAGGCCTCGAAAAGCTCAAGTAGAATAGGTAGGTGGCATAGAAAAAAATGTCAAGGAAAGAAGTTAACTTTGGCCAGGGAATTAAAGACTGTCTGGAGAAGCTGTCTCATGAGAATCAGGGACAGTAAGTTTAGAGGGGAAAAAATGTAACGTCAGGAATAAGGATGTAGGTGAAGGAATGAAAGGAAGCTGCTGATTAGGTAGAAGTGGTAACAGTAGGCAATAGGATTTGATAGGGGAGAAAAATGAATGTTTGAAGTAAGAAGTAACAGACTTTTTTCTTGAAAAGTTATTGATACAAGTAATGCCTGGTGTGATAGAGCATAGAAATATGGCAGCAGCATATAGAACACTGGCGCTCAGTTGGCGAAAGTGGATTTCACTTACAAACAGCTTAATTTCTATGGTCTTGACATTTTTTGGGGGAGGGGGTGGAAACTTTTTTTTGCCTTTTAAAAATTCGAGTGTTGTTAGTTCACTATATTAAATTATGCTGCACTGAGCTGAAGTACTATGATTTTATACTTCAGAAAATTGAGTTAAGAGGTCACATTTAAAACTGTTATTTCATGAGTTATGATTTGTGGCTCTCTGAAAGGTGCAGGATTTGTTATGTAAAAGATCCTCTGTGCCCTTCACAATAGTGAATTTAAATATTTTATCTCAATCTGGTTTACCAAGGTGGTGGTGTGGTCTATGCTTCCCACAGACACTTCTATATGTGCTAGGTAGTATTTTGATGAAATTGTATTCTGATTTCTAAATTCTTTATATCACCTCTTTATGACATATTTATTAACTATTGAAAGATACTATTTGTACTTAGCGCTTTGCTACCTTACTCTTTAAGTTTTGAATTTGCAAATATACTATGCAGTCTTTTGAAACTTCTCATAATGAAATACTGTACTGGAATTTTAAAAGAATAATGGCAGAAAGGGAAATATGTAGTAAAGGTATGTCTTTTTAATTAAATATCTTGAATCATTTGGGGTGTGGCCATCAGATTATGGTAACGTGTGCAGCATTTTAGATTTACTAATAATTTAGTTTTACTAAATGATGACATGCATGCACACGAAACAGTTGCTATATAGAAGCATTTTTTGTTAAGATTATTGCTCTAAGAATAATACCTTTATTAGTAAATGTTATAGTTGATTTGCCAGAAATGAAGGCTATACGGTGTTTGTTGACCTAAGGTTTATTTTTTAATATATCTGTTTCTACTGTTCTCCCATTGCTATTTATAACAGAGACTGAAGGTATTTGATAATAAATAATATGAGGCAAATAAGTTATCTGCTGTTTTGAAACTAGACAAAAGATGTAGGGCAGCCAGTGTTAATGGTTTTATTTTTCTTGCTGCAGTTTCAGTAGTAATTATACTTATAATCAGTTTTACCAATTACATACCAAACTTGCTGTGTTCCAAATGTGTCACTTCTTACCTATTTATTGCAATTTTGGAAGAGCTATTCATCAAGGCAGTACAGTTCTACCTATATAAAACTTTTACAGTATCATTTTTAAGAATATGATTAATATGTGTATATTTTGATACTAAATCAGGTAGATTATACCTCATTCATGTTTAATATCACATCTACTCACTGCTAAGGTTTGATTTTATGACACTTAGTTAAAGTTAACAATCTGAAGACAACAACAACCAAACAAACTCATGTTGTTTAGTCAATTCAGATCATCATGACTCTACACAACAGAGTAGAGTTGTAGCCGTGGATTTCTGAGACTGTGATCTTTACAGGAGCAGAAAGTCTCCTTTAACCTAATACAGTACATTATTTTAACCCATTACTTAAAACACACTTGAGTGAGAAGAAAAAATGAGCAAATTAGTAGAAAAGGACATTATTTAAAATCATATTTTTGATCTGGTAATATATCTTTTAATTGCAGTAAGATATTGAACTGGAATGAATAAGACATATTGAAACCAATGGGGAGTTTTGGTGGTGTAGTGGTTGGACATGTTG